AGGTTTGTGGCTCTTTTGAGTGTTTAAGGTTGCTGACCCCTGCTCTAGTTAGATAGCTAGAGAGATAGATTATTACAGATTGGATGGATGGATGGACAGATGAATGGGAAGATAAGATGATAGGTAGAGATTTGAGATGGATGAATGGATGGATACGAAGATAGCGATTATACACATTGGATGGATGATAGCTAGAGAAATTGGATAGATGGATGGATGTGATGACAGCTAGAGATGAGATGAATGGATGGAGAGGGATGGATAGATAAGATAGAGACAAATTATATAGATTAGATGGGTGGGTACATACAAAGATACGTGATAGGTGATTGATGATAAAGTAATAGCAAGAGAGAGAGATGATAAATATAGGATGGGTGGATGGACAGAGATATAGCTGAAAGGGGGTGGTGGTGTTGAAAGTACGGATTGGATGGACAAACGAATTGCCCCTGGCTGGCCTGGGAATCCTGCTCTAAGGATGATAATGCAGCAGAAAGAAGCCTCGTGTATCATATAGCATCTCTCCAGTCTAAATCAAATTCTTCAAAAGGGTGGAGGGCTTAGAAGGGAGAAGTCACAATTTTCCAAACCTTTGTCTGGTTTTCTATCTCTCTAGCATATCTCTTTTTCCAGTGTTTCACACACACCCCAAAACGTGCCCCTCCCTCATTTGATCTCCTCTTGGAGGCACCCCTGTCCGCCATTGGGGTGCAAGGAATAAGACACACACACACACATACACACACACACACAGCTCCATCCACCGTCCCAAGATCTCTTTTGAGACTCTGCTAAGTTAAGCTTCCTGCTTAATGGGGTTCTTGTGTTCCATTCTCCTTCCAGGAGCTCCTCCCATAAAGCCGATGGGCGCTGGGTGCCTCCTCCTGGCTGCCAGGACAGCGTGCCGAACAGCCTTCACTACCTTCAGGATGCCAACTCTCCCACTGTATCGCTCAGCCCAGACCCCTTCAACATTCCAACGTCCCTGGTGTTAAGAGGCCGAGGAGGGAATTCCTTCAGTGAAGACTCTTCCTTCAATACAGACGAGATCCAGGTGAGGCCATTGGAAGCAGTCCTCGGCTTAGGACCATAAACGGGAGCAGAATTTTGGTCGCTGGGATACGTGGTCGCAAAGCACAATGTTGTAGGTTAACGATAGCAGTTCTGGCAGTCCTGATTGCTATCATTAAGCAATGAGCTCGTATAACTTCAGCTTCCTGCTGGCTTCCCCATAGACTGCATAGGAGAAGCCAGCAGGAAACATTGAAGATTGGTATTACAGGTAGTCCTCAGTTTACAACTGTTGGTTCAGTGACGGTTCAAAAGGCCCAACAGCACTGAAAAAAGGACTTAGGACCATCGGTCACATCAAAATTCAGACATTTAGCAATCCATATTTAGGACAGATTCAATATCCCGGGATCCCCTTTTGCAGTCTTCTGATAAGCAAAATCAGCGGGGGGAGCCAGATTCGCTTAACCATCTCCAGGCTGGCTTCACCACAGAAGAGAGTCTGACTGAGTGACATTGGTGAGCAACGGAGCAAAACTCACAACAGCTGTCTCGCCTAGCAACCTACATTTTTGGCTCAATTGTGGCCATCAGTCACAATAGTTGTTAAGTGAATCACTGCAGTTGTTGACTAAATAGCAGAGTTGCCAAGGAAATCAGTCTTCCCGATTGACTTTGCTGGGCAGAAGATGTCAGAGCATTTGCAGCGTGACTACTATTGTGAGACAACGCAGCAACAAAACAAAGCACACAGAGGCTTAGACATTTAACAGTGATTTATATACAAGACGTATTCAGAAATATACGTGGTAGGCAAATACCTGACAAGCAAGCTATCTTCAACTACACAGAGAACTTTGCACAAGGAAAGAGAACATGCCCTCTAACGGCTGCCTTTATGTAGACACCTCTTAAAAAGGTAAAGCCTTCCATGGACCCATCCATAGTCTTAAAAAGGCAGCATCAATGCTGATTCATCCTCATTGCATCAGCCTTACATTGCATCACCCTTACAGCAACTGGTCAGCTCTTAAATCTCAATACCTTAACAGAAAGAGAATCACGTGACCCCAGTCCACTGTAACCATCATAAATATGAGTCAATTGCCAAGCTTCTGAGTTTTGATCACGTGACCCTGGGGAACGCTGCAACGGGTCATAAGTATGAAAAGCGGTTATTAGTCCCTTTTTTCAGGGCCTTGGTAACTTTGAAGATCTCGGGTGTTAGATATCAAGGACTAGTACTGTATTCCCACAGAAGTATGTCGTAACTTCAAATGGTCACTAAGTACCATGTTATCCCCGAAAATAACACTGAGTCTTATATTAATTTTTGCTCCAAAAGATGCATTTGGACTTATTTTCCAGTTAGGCCTTATTCTGGGAAATACGGCATTAAATATGTCCATTTGGATGACAATCTTAACTGGGGCTTATTTTTAGGGTATGGCTCATATCACTGAGCATCCTGAAAAATTATGCTAAGGTTTATTTTCCGGTTAGGTCTTATTTTGGGGGAAACACGGTAACTGCTCATAAGTCGAGAAGAACCAGGATGGGTTTTCCTTCGCTGAATTCTCCTTCTCTCCCACTAACACTGCTGTTCTTCCTCTTCCTCACCTCTTCAGAATGTTCTGCCTTGGGAACCCCGCACCTTCCCACTTTCCGATGCCGACTACCGGGCGCTTCACGACTCCTCCCACAAAACCTTTGGCCAGCAGTGGGATGAAGCCTTGAGGACTAACTACATGAACACCGCTGGCCTCTCTTACCTGAGAGAGGCGTTCCCGGCGAAACGTCCGGGACCTCCCGAGGACGGTGATCGGCAGCACCAGGCCGAGCCACGTTGCTTCATCGCCTCCATGCTGAATAACAGATGACCTCTCGGGCTCCGGAGAGAAGACGTCGGGAGAGTTTCACCCACACTCTAGAGAGGCATCACCGAGCTCAGCTGGCAAGCCAGGCGCCAGGAAAGTCGAGCACAACGCGGAGGTCCATCTTTGGACTAGGGAGTTCCCCACGACCGGCGAGAAGGGCCGGCAGGGGCCATTCGCCGAGCCTCTGTGGGGCGGGAGGAGGGGGTGACCTGGAGAAGCCCATCGGTAGGTGGGAGAACTCGGAGCACCACACAGGAAGGAAGGTTAGGGGCTGCGGGAGACAACCCACCTACCTCCCCAAAAAGGGAAGCAGAGAGGCTGCAGCACACACCAAGAGGAGATGCTTGGAACGGACACGGTTGATGGGAACCTCAAAAGCAGGAGGGAAGTGTGGATTAATTGGGGAGATTGATTAGTGGACGATAGGCTTCGTCCCCCAGAGCCGCTAGTTAATGGGGTGGGGGTTGCGAAGGAAAGGTTCTGCAGGGAAGCGCGATAAATTTTATCATTTTGATCTATGCCGCTCTGGAATCCACGGTGTTCTGAACACAAAACTCGTTCTGGAATCGGCGGTTTTTCCTAACTCTGAATCATTGTTTCTCCTGATCTTTTTGGGAGGGGAGAAAAAAACAATCAATCATGATTGCTACCGATGCTTTTTAGACTCTTCTATTCAGAAAAGCGGCCGATGCTATGCAGTTGTACGGAAATGCTAATTTAATCAATAAAAGGAACTTGACCAGATAATAACATGGGCTCTGAAGTGATCATTGGGGGTAGGTTTGGGGAGGGGGGGGTTGGTTGCAAATATTCTTTGAACATCATTTTAAAGATATTTTTTAAAATATCTGGATATCTCTTCTCGGTCATCCAGGTCATGGATGTTCTTTATCAAGAACTGGACTTTCTTGTTTTTTTCTTTGAAGAGGTTTTGCTCCTCATTCGAGAAGCTTCTTCAGTTCTGGTTAACAGTTCAGTTTTTCCTTTAAAGAGGTTTTGCTTCTTATCCGTGAATCTTCTGTTCTGGGTAACAGTTAAGTTCAATTTTTTTCTTTGAAGAGATTTTGTTTCTTATCCGAAAAGCTTCCTCAGTTCTGGTTAACAGTTCAGTTGTTCAGTCAGAACTGAAGGAAGCTTCTTGGATGAGAAGGGAAAAAAACCAATTAATAATCCTTGCAGACAACTGGTCATTTGTATTAGAGAGTCACTGAGACTGCTTGGGGTTTTTTTCTGTGTCCTCAAGGTCACCGGAGTAGTGCACACGGGTGTGGAGCCTTCTTGGAACTACCGAAAGGACCCTTACAGCCTGGAGACTCCATTTCCATTTTGATTCTCCTCCCCCTCTGGAGCAAGAAATGGCGGTTATAGGAACCCTACATCATCGAACTGAATGCCTGCCTACCAGTTCCTCAGACAATATGGCTGCTGTTGAGCTAGCTGGGAGTCGAAGCCCATCCACCCATAGGGAGGCTGCCCTGGAGTTCATCACGGTGTGGTGGAATGTAGTCTGGATTCCCAGGAGGGAGGGACCGAGACGCATCAAGCCAATTTAAAGGCTGTCCTCCCTAAGTTCTATCAGTACATAGACTGTCCCCCTTGAATCACGTATATAGGAACATTATGCATGGATACAGGACCGTGGTGGCACGCAGAGCCATTACTGCCGGCACGCGAGCACTCGACCAGAAAAGGTGTAATGCGCATCTGCGCGCGCTGCCCACCCACCAGCTGATTGTCAGGTATCTGCGCACATGTGCAGGGCGCACGGTGGCACGCAGGATACATGCATGCGAAAAAGCATGCAGCACGCGTGAGAAGGTCGCATGCGCAGAAGTACGTATCGCGCGAGTTGCGCTGGTTGTGCGTGCATGCAATGGCACAATGTGGCACATGCGATGGCACGCAAGCATGAGCAGGCATGCGCGCACGCAATTATCGGCACGTGAGCCCCAAACGGTTAGCCCCCACTGATCTAGGACTATGCCTTTACCCCACCTGGGGCAGTCAGATCATAGATCTCTGCTGTTGATTCCATCGTACGGCCCTCTTGTCAACAGAATCGGACCATCAGTTAGAGAAATAAAAGAGCGACGAGTGGGTGAATCTGAGGAACTTCAAGATTCCTTTAGAAGCACTGAACGGGCACTGAGGAGGACAATATGGATACTTACACCTCAACAGTTCCTTTTTTTATATCAAAAGCTGCACCGATGTTGTCACTACCATCAGACAAGTACGGGTGTTTTCTAACCACAAGCCCTGGATAGATAGAGACATGCGCCTTTTATTAAGAGCTAGAAATGCCGCTTTCCATTCTGGTTACGCACTACAGGATAGCAAGGCAAGACTTGCTAAATTGAAAAAGGGCATCCGGGACGCTAAAGCTACATAGAGACGGAGGATTGAACATTTCGAGAGGTTGGACTCTCGGTCGGGTATGGCAAGGTCTGCGACAAATTAGGGGGCAGATCAATTCAAGTAGTTTGTCTAGCAGCAGTGATTCTTTGGCTGAGCAGCTAAATCCATTCTTCAGCAGTTCTGAGGTGGAAACAGGAATGCCCATCACTCCAGCATCTACCACTGATAGTACACCGCTAATCTTTACCGTTGATAGGCAACCACTTCTACTGCAGGTTTCTGATGTGAGACGCACTTTCCAGAATATTAACACCCGGAAGGCAGCTGGGCCAGATGGAATCATGGGGCGAGTTGTTAGGGACTGCCCTGCAGAGTTAGCTCGAGTGTTCAGAGACATTTTCAGTCTATCCTTGCTCTATCCCTACCCTGCATGAAGACATTCATTATAGTGCCAGTCCTTAAGCAGACAGTAGTGGTATCTCTCAATGATTATGGACCGGTAGCTTTAAGATCTGTTGTCATGAAATCTTTTGAGAGACTGGTGTTGAACTACGTTAAGGCTAGTCTTCCATCTCCTTTGGACCCACGCCAATTGGCATATAAGAGCAACAGATGAACTGATGATGCTACGTCTATTGTTGTCCATACTGTGTTGAATAATTTGGAACAACAGGGAACTTATGCAAGGCTGTTATTTGTGGACTATAGTTCTGCCTTTAACACCATCCTACCCAACAGGTTGTTTCTTAAAATGTCCAATTTGGGTATAAATCGGAAGATTTGTTTGTGGATTAAGGATTTTCTGACAGATAGACCACAGTCAGTAAGGATGGGATCTCACCATTCTTCTACTCTGATACTAAGCACAGGAGCCCCCCCCCCCCCGAGTTGTGTGCTAAGCCCCTTCCTTTATTCTTTGTACACACATGACCATTGTATAACATCAATGCAATTATTAAAATTGCGAATGTCACGACAGTGGCGGGGCTCACTAACAAGAACAATGAGTCTGCTTACAGAAAGGAAGTGCAAAGGCTGACACTGGTGTAAAGAAAATAATTTTACACTTAACACCCCCAAAAAATCCCTAAAGAACTTATAATTGACTTCAGGAGGAAGAGAGATGTACATTTACCATTGTAAATAAATGGTGAGGAGATGGAGAGGGTTGGTAGTTTTACATTTCTGGGCACTTCCATCTCGGAGGATCTCATGGACTATGAATGCTAACACGCTTGTAAAGGAGGCACAGAAGAAGAGGCTGTACTTCCTGAGAATGCTCAGGAAGAAAAATCTATCTCAGTATCTACTTCTGTCCTACTACGGCAGCACCACTGAGAGTGTCCTGACATACGGCATTCTTGCATGGTATGGGAGCAGCTCTGGAGCAGGTAAAAAAAGCTCTACAGAGAATCATTAAAACTGCCCAGAAATGGCACTTCCGGTGGCACTTCCGTCAAAGACGGATCGGAGACCACAATCATGCACGGCTTTGATCTGTGCTCAGCCTGTTGGAGGGACTGGATCCACTCTGGAGGGGTGGTGAAAGAGGCAGAGACCGTCAGCTGGGCCGAGGGGAGCCACATCTCCCTTACCTGGCTAGGTATACTCCCCTTGAAGATAGGCTGTAGCGGCAGTCTTTAATGGCTAACCTGAAGACGGGAAGCTATCCAGGAATTAAGTTTGTGCTGGAGCAGTGAAGTGGTGAGCAGTGTGTGACCAGGCAAAATACTTTGGATTTCTTCAAGGCAACCCCAAGAAATAGAAGGAAAGAGCCCTCATTTAAAATTGTCGAAGCGGCAATTGGAAAGTAAGAGGAAAATTATAAGGTAAATAAAATTGGACTAGAAAAGGACTGAAATGTAAGTGATATCATTTAGAGAAAACTTTTTAAACAATAACAGAATCAGAAATACAATTTGGAATATTATACAGAATTTGGCATTGATTAGAATGCTGGGCTTGCTGGAATTGACTACATTTTAAAAATATAATAGCTAATGATTGAAGATTAGCGGAATTAATACAAGCAGGGGGGGAAGAACTTTAAAAAGTGGAAAGTGAAAACTGATGTAACAGCGCCACCTAATGCTTAAAGGAACTTTTTTCTTATGATTATATGGCAAATTACTGGTCTAGTAAATGCATGAATGGGAAATGAAATAGAAGACTATAACAACAACCCTGGAAGCACAAAAAGATTACAGCAAAGGGACAAGCGAAGATATTATCTTAGGACTGTTTGGTGGATTGGGGCTGTGATAAGGAAACAGAAGGATTAACAAGAGAAATTAAGATAAATGGATATTTTCGTTAAAGATTAAAATAGAAGATGCTGGCTTTTAATAAAATATAGAATAACTCAATTGAATAAGTAAAATGAATGAAATGTGCAAAGAACTCAGATCAGAACTGCAAAATGTGAGAGGAATAATAAAAGAAAGCATGTATAATGGCAGAAAAACTAGCAATGGCGATGCAGTTCACAGAACAAAGAAAGTCGAAGGAGGAGGATTTAAAGAAAGAGGAAACCAGCCCAAAAGAGCAAAAAGAACAATGGACATTGCAAAAAGACACGAAAGGAATTAAAATTAAGACTTTGATGGTAGTTGTGATAAACAAAAGGGAAAATACTTCCAAGATTAAACGAAAGAAGAAGGTATACAAGACGAAATCACAAAAGAGAGATCAGGAGGGGGGGCGGAATAAGTGAATGGGAGATGAAAACAAAAATAATAATAGGGGAAAAAAGAACTAAGAGAAAGGACTGGAAAAACTTGGAAAACTGGCTAAAATTAGAAGAAAGTATAGGGCCGGGAGACTAAGAGGTGATGGTTAAAGATAAAATAAAGGGGGGATTCCCCACGGAAATGTATTTTGGTCTTTTTTAGAAATATAGATTGGGGAGTTTTGAAGTTTAAAGTTTATTGGGAATTACTTTCAAAAATAAAGAAATAAGCTTAATTGGAATTAAAGGGGAATAAGACCTCACCATAAGAATATTATATTATTATATATGAGAAAAATGACAGAGTAACTTAAAATGGTTTTATTATTAAATCCTTTTATTTTTATATAATATTAAATAGAAAATGCAATTGATTATATAAAGGATATTAGAAAAACAAAGAATATGGTAATTTAGAAATGACTATATTGTAAAGTATTTGCAATGAGATTATTATATTATGATTAAAAAGGTGATGAATAAAAATTAAATAAAATTCCATAGGCAAAATTTGGCTAAACGGAAACAAAGAGGAAATATGAAATGGTTATATGAATATCCCTGGAATAAATGTAAGATTCATCGTAGATTGGGGGTAAATACCATGGGGATCCTGAATATATTAATTTTATTTTATTTTTGTTTTTCGTTTGCTATACATCGGCTTTGAGAAAGTAAAAGAAGAAAATAACGTAAAATAAATAGGTGGTAAGCTGGAAATGAAAATAATAGGGGATAGAGAGTGGAAAATATGTTCTAGGACGAAATGTTTTTGTTACTGGATTAATGAATGGAAAATATAAAGCAAACATTTAAAAATCAATGGAATAGATAATGATTTGGTAATGAAACTAAATAAGAAAGCTGGAAATGTAACTAGGACTATACTTGCATGTTGTAACCTGGAATCACATTGGTCACTTGAAGAAATGTATAAAAAAAAATTCTAAAAAAAAACCCTGCCCAGAATATCATTGGGCTCCAGCTACCAGCCCTGGACGACATCTTTGCACCTTGCTGTTTGATGAAGTCACACAACATCCTCAGAGACTCTTCCCATCCTGCTTACAATCTTTGTGAAGCTGTTGCCTTCTGGCAGAAGAACAGAACCATTAAAACTCGGACCACACATTTTCTGAACAGTTTTTATCCCGGAGCTATAATGGCACTTAACAATGAACTTAAAGACCACCATCGGTGAGCTGTTGGACAGGATTACTTGGTCTGTTGTGTGGATGCTTGTGTGTTTTTAGGTGGTGGGGAATTTTGGCGGGTGAGGAGGTGTTTGGAGATTGTCGTGTGTGTATGCGTGTTGAGTCTGGTCTCTGGGTGTTATGTGAATTTCGTTGTATGTATACTGTGTATATATGTACAATGATAAAGAATTCAATTTCCATTTTTTCCATTTTCAATTTTTTGTCCGGAGTGATAAGAGGTTCTACTATTTGAGCAGGGAGCCTGGAGTAGATGTCCTTCACAAAGTCCTTCTTCCAACTTGTGTTATTCTGTAAGCGTCTCCTACTTGAGTAGTGGGTTGGACTACATGACCCCCCCCAGTCCCTTCCAAGTCTTTTTATTCCACAATTCTGTAAGGTGGTCCTGGTTGGGCAGGGGCTTGGACTAGAAGACCTTCAAAATCCCTTACAGCTCTATTCCGATTGACGATTCCATATTTTGGACAGGTTTGAAAGGGGGGGTGGGGGTATCCAAGAGGCCATCTTTGTCAAAATTGAACAGTCTTGTCTGAACGGCGGGGTGTGTGTGGGGTGAATACCACAAAATCCATCTCCAGCCTACAACACAACCCTTTCAGCAGTTCCAAGAAGCCTCCCATTTGCACTTACTCAGGGGACCTGAGGACTTCAAGAAACCACCAAGCGGCCTCAACAGCTCTCTAAAAAAGAATGCAAATGACCAGGCGTCTGCCAGGAGTATAAATCCTTCCATTCTCCACTATCCAAATCAGAGCTTGGAGGTTTTTTTCCTCCCCTTGGAAGAGGTTTCCCTTCTCATCCAGAGGAGCTTCTTCACTTCTGATAGAAGAATTGAACTGTTAGCAAGAACAGAGGAAGCTTCTCGGATGAGAATCAAAACCTCTTCAAGGAAAAAAACAACCAAGAAAGGCCAGTTGCCTCTTGAAAAAAAGCACCTCTGGACACAACCATGATCCCAGATGACTGAGAACCCCCATATACTGTGATTAGAGATAGTCCTCGACTTAACACCAGTTCATTTAGTGATGGTTTGCAATTACAACGGCACCAAAACACGGAAATAAGTTCACTGAGCAAACGTTTCACTTTGCCATGAAAAAGGCGGCCTCAATTGGGGTCATAAGCCGAGGACTACCTGTATTTAACAGTAACCATCATAATGCCCCATGTCCCTCATAGAAGGGCTCCATACAGGTAGTCCTTGACTTACAACAGTTGGTTTAGTGACCGTCTTGATGTCCAATTAGCAATGAAGAGGGACTCCTGGCCGTTTTTACACACTTAACGACCACAGCAACATCCTAGACTTACATAATGCAAGTTCAGGCTTATGGGATCCAAATTCAAACACTCCACAACTGTCTCGTAGTTATGACAATCAGGGGGGGTCATGCAATCCCCTTTTGCAACCTTCCAACGAGCAAAGCCAAGGGAGAAGCCCGATTCCCTTAACCCCTTTCATTACCATAGCAATTTGCTTAATGACTGACAAGAAAGGCAGTCAAATGTAGGAAAGCACCCCCAGTGTCTCGCTTAGTGACAAGTTTGGGTTCAATTATGGTCGCAAATCGAGGACTACCTGTTAATTTGAAAACCGGCTACGTCAAAAAAACCTGGAAATCTCTCTCTGGCTACTTTACCAGGTTCGGAGGTTGCACAGAGCAAGGCAACTCTCATGCTACACGTGTCAAGCCCTTTCACAAGTGCAGACAGGACTCATCCAGGTTGGGAGGGTCTGCGTACCTCTCCAGGGTGTCTGGATTACCGTATTGGTCCCCCTCGCCCACCATAGCAGTGGATTATGAGAGTAGAAGTCCAGTCTTGCCTCCTCCTCCACGTGGCGAGACCGGGTCTAAGTGGGCGGGGCCAGGGAGCTAAGCTCCCATTGTCGCCCCTCCCCTCTCCATCCCCGACCCTCTTTCAGGGGTCTCGGGCTGCCTCTTATTCTCCTCGTCTCACGCAGGCGCAGTCCATTCCACTCACCCGCGCTTGCGCAAAAAAAAAAAAAAAAAAAAAAAGGCCTCTGGCCATTCGGCCGGGCCGGATGTCCATCCAAATCTCCGGGAGTGTGGCGGGGTGGGGGGGAGAGAAGGGGGAATGCACGCCTGCGCACAACTTCCCGGCGGCGAGGACGGCGCAGGCGCTTTGGAGGCGAGAGGGCGTGTCTATGGGCCGTCGGCGCATGCGCTCTGCCTGGTCCTCCCCCCTCAGCCTGAGGCAACCCCGGCCGAGGAGCCGTCGAGAGCTCGGCGTTGAGGCGGCGCGTGCGCGGAAAGAGCGAGAGCGAGAAAGAGCGAGCGAGCGACGGCGAGCGAACTGCCTCAGTAGCCGCCGCGGCGCCTCCTCGGCCGCGCATGCGCGGAGCGAGGAAAGTGGGCGGCGCGGGGCCCCGGCGGCGGCGGCGGCGACGGCGCGGTAGGCCCGGCAGGACAATGGCGGCGGCCTCGGCCTCCGTAACGGCGGCCTCGAGTCCCGTGTCGGGGCCTGGAACCGTCGTCGGAGGCAGCGGGCCCGGTTCGGCTTCTTCTTCTTCGTCGTCGTCGTCGTTTTCCTCCGCCGGCCCTTTGTCGCTTTCCCGCCGGAAAGACGGAGGCCCCGCCGGGAAATTTTGGGAAAGCTCCGATACAGCTTCGCAATTGGAAGCCGCCCGGGCTTGGCTGGCTAAGCATTACAAGAAGGTGAGGGGGCGGGGTGGGGGGTGGAAG